AACTTTTACCAGTAAAACATTTAACTCATGCCCTTTGTGCTCATCATTCCTACTAACTCTTGTAGATACATAAAAAAAACAAGTACAGAAAAAAAATTTCTCCCAATCGTGAAAATAATTTGTTTTCCTACGTTTTAATGCTCTTTTTCCCCTCTACACAGAGGTAAACAAACTGTGCTTTAATGGTTAATTTTCCAAAGGGTGGGGGTTGGAGGTGGAGTTAAGTGTGTGCCTGTGAGGAGCTGCAGTCTGCAGGAATCAGAGAGAGATGCAGCAGGAGAGAACCTGTTGAGAGTTTGTTGGGTTTAACGGGAGATGTGGCTTTAACAGTAGATCTTGTTGATATTCTTTGGAAAAAAAAAGTGTTTTGTTAATAAAAGTTCCAAAGAACACACAGGTGACTTTTGGTTCCATTTGTTTAGCATTTAGTGCGCTGCTTCTATTGACGGTCAGTTGATCTGTGCTATTTTCAGAATGTGTCCAGCGGGCGACTCAGAAAGTCTCTGCAGGCGACCAGGTGCCTGCGGGCACCGTACTGATGACCCCTGGACTAGACCCAGTGATACCAGCTGTCTCTTACACACATACTGATTGATTTGACTGTGACTACTTCCCTTACCTTACAAAATTGTTGCTACAATTCAAATGCTACAAACAAAAGGAATCGATCGTRTCCAGCATATGAATAATGTAAGAGMTTTTGTTCTTGTCTGAAAAACACTGAAAAACAAAAACACATCGAACATGAAATACACCAACAGCTGAACGAGGAAGGAGATGAACTCACAGCTGCATCACCAGGTAGAGGTGGTCTGGACTCTCGTAGATGTCCTCCAGGGCCACAATGTTTTCATGCTTGATCCTGTTAAGCAAAGACAAACTGTGAGAGAAGCTTTTCATTYTTTACRCCAKGCTAAATGACTTTTGTTCCCAATATTTGCTCCTGAACTGCAGAAATGTTGCTCACTGATGAGGTCATACTCTCGTGCTTGAGTTTCACAGAGTGAAAAAGTGACTCCAGTCAAGACYCGAGTTTTGGTTTTGTAGCGATTACAAGCAAACAGCGATTGGCGCTGAAATTGGGGTTGTTTTGCAAATTCATCCTTCCTCTCCCCTGCCGGCASAAGCTTGTCAAAAAAAATGTGAATCAATAATCGTTTTTATCTTCCATCGTTTCTCCCATCACACCTTGTGCTCATTTCGCTTGCTTCTCCTCTCACCTCTCCATGGTTACAGCAGCATGTTGAGGGTGGTTCGTGTGTGTGTGTGTGTGTGTGTGTGTGTGTGTGTGTGTGTGTGTGTGTGTGTGTGTGTGTGTGTGTGTGTGT